GTGAAATATAATATATATATAGTAAATAGTTAGTTTTAGTAACGTCAGACCTTTTTCTTCTGTTTAAATAACGCATAGACACCGATTTCTTATTGTTAAATAAATATTTATAAAAATTTATGCTTTGTTCTAATGAAGGAGGATATAGCTTTGTATAAGAAAAAAGAAGAAAAACAAAAGGTGAGAATCAGATCTTATGATATGTATCTTAAACTCAGTCCATTACCATAAACAAAATAATGCAGGGGTACTAATATATGTACTACTAATTTATGTTCTACAAAATAAAAAGGTCTTTTAGGTATTTAGAAATATATCTAAATAAAAATAGAAAAAAAAAATTAAATAAAAATAGGAATAAAAATAGACACTAAGTAACTACTCCCTGCATTAACCTGATATTAACCTGCTAACCTAATATTATAAAACTAAGAAATTTAAAAGTTTTATAGATATAAAGACTTTTATGGATTATAAACCGACACAGTCACTATACTGATGGGACACTTTCTTATTTATAAGCACACCTACCGATTAATAACTCTCGTAATTCTTTGCGGGTGAGAAGAAGAACGGTAGAATACTACCAATTTGCTCGATCACTATCTTTCAATCATTGAAGGAGGGGAAAATGTTATATCTGTTTATAAGTGTATTTCTATCAATTATCCTTTCGTCATTATAATCTAAGAAATGTAACAGAATTTGAGAAAGACAAATCCTCAAGTAAATATAACCATTAGTGAAGAATGATCCAATTATTCTTTTTCATACAATCCTAATTTTATTTATTCATCTTCATTTACTAAATTCAACATTATCTGGAATTAATTTCCATAACAGAAGTTTTTATTTAAAAAAAAAATTTATTTAAACCACTTCAATAATATTTTAACTTATAAGTGCACTATAGAAATCACTTCCACTTTATTGCATTTTAATCTCAATATTTAATATACAAAAAATGGTTTCAATAAATATACATCTCTTTAAGGATATATAATCTTACCCACAGCATAAGTAAGATTCATGCAAAATAAAAGAATTCCCATAATTTCGTGGTTTTTTGTGATATACAAAAAATATTTAAAAAAAATAAATACGTAAAGTACAAATAAAATCAGCAGGATTTAACTAAATTCTAATAAATAAAATTTGTGTATAATACTACAAAAAGGATACAGCGCAGAAAAAAGGATAACAATACCGATATAAAGGTAAATTGCACCACGGTTTGACTTTTATTGTGCGCACAACACGCCAGGAGCAGGCAAAGCGAAAGGTTTGCCACTATATAATGAGAATCAGGACAAAAGGGTTGCAACTTTCAATTGTCCTACCAGCTGAGTAAACCCTTTGTGTCCTTGCTGATTGTGTTTTGTTTTGTGTTGACGAATCCCGTTCAAGCGTGACTAACTTTTGGTAAAAGTTAATGGCCACTGCGGGTAATTTTATGAACCAATAAAATTTTGTAAAATAAATTAAAGAAATAAAAACTAAAAATATATGAAAGAAGGATAACAAACAGAGTGCTAGGATTTTTGGTCCTCAGATTTTTGTGATTTTTCTTCAATGAATATACTTAAATATATGTATTTTTATTTATGTCTTAATTTATTTTCCAGTGGAAACTGAATTTTGTGTTTTAGCCAGAATACTATTTCTCTTTACTTAAAGGTTGTCAGTATAGGAAACATATACCCGTAACTACATCCGTCCTTCAGTGATTTGGATTTTTCTCGTGTTTGGTTCCAAAATCATGATGAACCTACTTCCCACTTTTCAGTCAGTTAACCTAAGAAATTCAAAAGCGAAAGAAAATATAACTGATAGAAAATTAATTGTACTATCTATAACATTGTTGCTTCCTTAATGCATCTAAACAGTTCTGATAAAAAGAGAACCTGACGCTACTCCGATTTCTCGAGCACGCCGATTTGACAACGGAAGTTTCGGGTTTAGCTGTTTTGTGCACTTTTTCCATTACACCACATATA